AAAGAAAAAGGATATCAAAGGGACCACAGTATCAAATGAACTAATAGAGAGAGACACACCATGTCACAAAAGCATCAATAATGCTGTATCCAATTTTGCAAACTATAATGTGAAATGTTATTATCTAATTAATTGTTACTAACTATATCTACCAAAACAGTCTATAGGCAATATTATCCTCTCATGCAAATATTAAATGACAGTTATATAATAAATATATAATGAATTCCAATGTTGTCCAGTGAATAAGAAAACTCATCAAATGGAATCAATGTCCATACATTGCAACAGACCGTATAAAATGTTCGCTATTTCAACTCAGTTGAATTTCCAGGAGAATCCACTGCTGGCCTTGGATATATAGGCCTGTGACTTTGCATCGTGGCAGGTAATCTGCTAACTCCCGTCTCTCCACTCTTCTTCAGAAGCCATAAACTTTGACTCAGCAATACTTCACGTAGACAGAAAATTCCATTCAGCAAAATCCTCACAATGTGGTATAAACTCTCAGTGCAGCATGTAATCAATCTGCGGAATAGTCTTCATATTTTCAAATCTGCACACACATACATGATTTCCCTTCTCTTTGTGGATTGTCAGAGGAGAAGGGGATCATACATGAGTGTGTGTGGATTTGAAAGTAGGCCATCCCTTGCTGGAACCTCCTCATACCTTGTAAACACATGAGCTCATGAAGCTGCCTTTTACTGAGTCAGACCATTCGTTCAGACCATTCCTTGCCAGGCTCCACCCTATACCTTCCCTGTCATCTGCAGGGTTGATGACCTCCAGGTGGTGGCTGGAGATCTCCTGGGGTTACAACTAGGGTTGCCAAGTTGGGTGTTGCGCCGCAGTGGGGGACTCCCGGCTGGCGTCTGGAGAGCGCGCGCACCAGCCGGAAGTGACGTGACGACGCCGGGCACGCTGGGGGCGGGGCCACGACCATCCAAGGGAAAACCATAGAGTTTTCCCTCAGGTAACCGTGGCCCCGCCCCCAGCGTGCCCAGCGTGGTCGCGTCACTTCCGGGTGACATGCACGTCGGGGTGGGGCTCCCCCTGGGGCCCGATCCACCGCCGGTGGGGAACGGGCCTCTGGGGCGGGGGTTTCACCGCCTTCCGGGGAGACTTGGCAAGGCTAGTTACAACTGATCTCCGGCAACAGATATCAGTTCACCTCGAGAAAATGGCCACTCTGGAAGTTGGCTTCTATGGCATTATACCCCATTGAAGCCCTTCCAAAACTCTACCCCCCCCCCGATGTCCAGGTATTTTCCAACCCAGAGTTGGCAACTCTAGCCATCCACCACTCCTTCCTCTGTCTTTCCTCTTCTTTGCTTCCTATGAGATCCTCGTCCGCTTCCTTCTCTATCATCCATCATTACCCAACAGAGCGATACTGATGACTCTGCAACGTGTGCTGGCTAATTACATGATGCAGCAGGAGAAGTTAAAGATTTTAAGGGCTGGGACAATCTCAAAGGCATTATGGTGGGAGAGGATATGTACTCTTCGTTGGCCGTCTCTGTATTTGAACAGCAAGGTGCTTTTGCAACCCTTGTCCTGTGATGATTATGGGGTGTCCACGAGGAAGACAACAGGAGAAAGGAAGGGCAGATTGAGAAAATTAATTTATGTGTGCTTAAGCTTTGTTTTCTTTTGGGGTGAGGAGCGAGAGCCGTTAAGCCAAAAGCTTAATGGAGAGGTAGGTTTTGAAGGAAGAAATAGAGCTGGCATCTCACAAGTTTTCTGGAAGGGCATTCTAAGCAACAGGAGGTAGCCCTGTTCACAAGTTACAGTGAACACATGTGCAATCAGCATACTATGTAAACTTGATTTTTCTTTATACATGTGTTGAGTAACTCTCATGTTACATTGGACGCTTGTACAGCTTGGACATTGTGACTGAAACTACACATTTATCCAGGGCTGGATTGTCAGGTCTCCAACCGTGGCAGGAGACTTTCTGCTAGCAACTCGCTCTTCCCAAAACTGCTTGTTCAGGCAATGGAGGAAATCTTTTTTAAATGCTGCTGTTACATGTGGCATGACGTCACTTCTAGGGAACACCTGGAAGTGATGTCGCTGTGAAACTCGGGTCTCGTTTGCCATGGTTTCTGCTGTTCTTTTGCTGTTCTTGGGTTCTGTATGCCTATTGTCTCATGTCATTCTGGTGGGAGGGGTGAGTGTGTGAGTATGTGGATGTGAGGACTGCTTTGCTAGAAGGTAACGGCGTTAAGCAGGGCCTCCTTTCCCTGGAAAGAATACATGCTTGACCTTGGAAGCCAGACACTGTTAGATACCAAGCTTGCAGGTGATGGAGGAGGGCTAATGGTGCATAGTAGATTTTGGCGGGCTGGATGTGTTTGTGTGATTGGGCTAATCATATGGAAGGGGGCTGTTTGAACTCTGTATAATATCAGAAGTGATGCCAAGAGGGTCAGTTCTGACACAGATAGTCTTAGCTTGACACATTCTCATCTCTCAACAAACAAATCACTACCAAGAGAGTGTTGTTGGGAGTAAGTTTGTTCAGGAGTCTAACATAGTGTCAAGCTCAGGTCTAACTTTTTATTTCTCTAAGTTCCATTTCTTTTCACCTTCGCTTGTCATTTTGAATTCCTAAGAAGTGTGTGTGTGTTGTTGGAGTGCATGGGAGTAGAGGTCGTAACTTTCCTGAAGATGTGCCCCGAGTTGGTTCCCGTGGGACTGATCTTGGAGTAACTCTCTGCCAGCCTAGTTTAGATAGGGCACCATATATCTGTCTGTGTTGCCATAGTAATGCCAGGGGTAGGTATGACGTGGATGAATGTGGAATTTTATGCTTTTACCTATATCTTGTAATTTCCTGCGAACTTCTTCAGTCCTAACAAAAGCTTTTGAACCCACAGTATCATATCTCTAATAAAGCATTACACTGCCAATAGTGTGTGTGGAGAGCGAATTAGCTGGGGACCTGACAGATTGTTAGGACTCCCATTAATCTCTTCCCCCCCGGCCCCAACCTACAACGGAATGGTGAATGGTGATGGAGATGGTGGGGCGAGTGGCGAGTACTGAGTCTGAACCTGAGAACCCCACGCATGACCTCGAGAAGAAGAAAGACAGCAAGGCCACTGGTGCTCAGCCAAAGAAGCACGTTCTCCTCCATCTTCCCAAAAGACACGACAGCCCCAATCTCTGGGATGATCTGGGCTGGTTGGTGAGCACCCGGAGAAAGGCTGATTGTGAGAAACGGCATGTCTCCCGCACCTTCCATGACAACCCAGACCTGGGCAAAATGCGAGAAGAGTGGGAAGACGAGCCAGCAACGGAGAGGGGCCAGTCTCTGAGCTGATGTGAAGGAGCTGAAGGAAGAATTGGAAGAGTCTGAGGAGGAGAAAAGCGAGGGTGAAGCCCCCCCCCTCGAAGACCTGATGGAGAGTGAGACTGGGCCTGTGACGCTCTGGAGGCTACATAGAATCATAGAGTTGAAAGGGGCCAGACAGATCATCTAGTCCAACCCCCTGCCCAATGCAGGACCAGCCTAAAGCATCTCTAACAAATTTTCGTCCAGCCTCTTCTTGAAAGCTGTCAGTGGGGAGCTAACCACCTCTCTAGGCAGCTGATTCCACTTTTGAACTACTCTGACTGTGAAAACGTTTTTTCCTAATATCCAGCCAATACCTTTCTGCATGTAATTTAAACCCATTGCTTCGGGTCCTATCCTCTGCTGCCAACTGGAACAGCTCCTTGCCCTCCTCCAAATGACACCTTTCAAATATTTAAAGAGAGCAATCATGTCCCCCCTCAATCTCCTCTTCTCCAAACTAACATTCCCAAGGCCCTTAGCCTTTCCTCGTAAAGCTCAGTCTCCAGACCCCTGATCATCCTCGTCGCTCTCTTCTGCACCCTCTTGATTTTGTCCACAACCTTTTTGAAGTGAGGCCTCCAGAACTGCACACAGTACTCCAGGTGCGGCCTGACCAAGACAGTATACAGAGGGGCTATGACCTCCTGCAATTTCAATGCTATGGTCCTTTTAATACAACCCAAGACTGAGTTTGCCCCCAGAACTGCACACAGTACTCAAGGTGCACACAGTACTCAGTACTCAAGAACTGCACACAGTACTCAGGGCTAAGAGCCCTGGGAATGAGTAGCCCTTCTACCCCTTCCTCCAGATCATTGATAAAAATATTGAAAAGTACTGGACCCAAAACCAAGTCCTACGACACCCCGCTGGACCTGGACACCTCCCTCCAATCTGATGAAACGCCATTGACCACCACTCTTTGGGTGCGGTCCTGTAACCAGTTCCCTATCCACCAAACTGTCCTATACTGGAGTCCACAGTCTTCCAGTTTGCCCATCAGAATGTCATGGGGAACCTTATCAAAAGCTTTACTGAAATCCAGGTAAATCACATCAACAGAGGTCCCACGATCCAGTAAGCTCATCACATGATCAAAGAAGGAAACCAGGTTTGTCTGACAAGATCTGTTGAGGACAAAACCATGCTGACTTCCCCGGATCACTAAGTGGTCCTTGAGATGCTTACAGATCAATCCCTTTAAAATCTGCTCTAATGTCTTCCCAGCAACAGAAGTCAGACTGTTTCCCGAGTCCCAGACCTGTAGTTTCCCGGGTCATCCTTCTTCCCTTTCTTAAAGATTGGGATAACATTTGCTCTTCTCCAGTCTTGTGGCACATCCCTAGTCCTCCAGGAGGCCTTGAAGATGATGGACAGAGGCTCTGCAAGGTCCTTAGAAAGTTCTTTGAGCACTCTTGGGTGCACACCATCTGGCCCAGGGGATTTGTATTCGTCCACTGCAGCCAAGCGCCTCTCCACAACCTCCCTGTCAGTGTCAACTGGACACTCAGGTGTCCTGTCATGTCCTATACCATCTCTAGATACGCTTGAGTTCTTCTGGGAGAAAACAGAGGCAAAAAAGTAATTCAGCCTGTCTGCTTTCGATGGCAGCCCGGGGAAGCTAACATTCTTTGTGATCCAGGTGCGCAAGATGCTGTGTGAGTGGGGGCACACCTTCCCCTCTGATGAGCAGCGTGTGGATTACGTGGCCTCTCGGCTTTGGGAGCGGGCAGCCGACTGGTTTGTGGGGCTTTACAACATCACGGCCCCGGAGCTTCGAGATGTGGACGCCTTCATACAGGCCCTGCGGCACCAGTTCGAGGACCCGCTGGAGCTAGAGAAGGCTCGCACACGCCTCCGGGGCTGCGTCAAGGAGCTTGGTTTGTACAGGAGTACTCCGATGAGTTCAGAGCCACTGCAGCCAAGCTCCAGGGCTGGCCGGAAGAGGTATGACGTGGATGAATGTGGAATTTTATGCTTTTACCTATATCTTGTAATTTCTTGCGAATTTCTTCAGTCTTAACAAAAGCTCTTGAACCCACAGCATCATATCTCTAATAAAGCATTACACTGCCAATAGTGTGTGTGGAGAGTGAATTAGCTGGGGACGTGACCCATAGTGTCACAACTCACTTTGACACATTGTACCACAATCATGATGAGCGTAGTTGGCGAGGACACGGGGACTGAGACCCAAACAGAGTGACCAGTCTTTTAACCCCCTAAACCTACTGAGGAAGAAAAGCCCCGGGACCGAGGGGCGAGACCAAAGGATCTGCGATCAGAGCATGAGATGGGATGCTCCCAACTGGTTGATGACCTCCTCCCAAAGAGCCTGGCGAAGACAGTAGGAGGCCGAGTGGTCGAGGGTTGTTCCACAACGACCCTGAGCGCCTGAGGGTGGTTGAGCTGTTCTGAGAAGAATCTGACATCGAGCTGGTTTGGCAGGAGCTTATGTGCGAGATGGCCAAATGATGGCAGGACACCTGGGCAGCCCTAGAGGACCTTCCAGCCACCATCCGGTTGGTCCTGCAACAGGAGCTGCAAGGGGAGGACGTGAGAGGCATACCAGCCCAGCCGAAGCAGGCCCAGTGGTGCAACTGGCTCCACAACCCTTGCTGGCACCACAACTTATGCATGGGTAAATTCAAGAGCTGTGGTTCCAGGAAAATTTATGCCTGAGGAAGATTTGTTCGAAACACGCAGGTTATGCATTGTTCGGTGCAAATAACTGTACATTGGTATTTATCCTCCATCAGGAAGAAGACAGTTGGACTCTTCGTGTTATATCACTTAGTTTGAAAGTGTTTGAAATGTGATGTTGTAGTTTGAAAGTGTTTACAATACACTAGAGTTGATGTTGTATATATAAATCAAATATATTTAGGTATAAGTGCATGTGACTATTGTGTTTATTATTTCAACACGGTGTTTTCTGCGTTTATCTTACCTCCAGGTGAAGCCTGGAGATCTTCCAGAATCACAACTTAGCTTCAGATGACAGAGAGCAGTTCCCCTTGAGAAAATGGCTGCATTGGAGGGTGGACTGCATGCTTATATACCCCTGAGGGTCCCTCCCCCTCCCTAAACGCTACCCTCTCTAGGCTCCACCCCCTGAATCTCCAGGAATTTCCAAACCCAGAGTTGGCAACCCTGCTCAGAAACCATTTTATGTTAGGCAGCTGCTGGCAGAAGGGGCTGGTCTGGGTGGTGATTTCAGGCCCTACCTCTGTCATCCACAATTGGGTCATTTGGATTTATTTTCAGGAGGCAACCCTTCCCATTCCGCTGTTCCTGCCCTGTTCTCAAGTCATCTCCCCCGCCCTGCTCTGCCTTGCTGTCCGGCTTCCTTCAGGAAACTAGGAAGGAGTCTCCTGCCCGCCCTCAGTCTGAGGTGGGGCAAGATATTTGTAGGTGGTGTTTCCAGGACTCCCACACTGGACATTCTTGTTGCATTAGATAAGCTGTTGTCTGTGAAGTATGGTTGTGACGAAGCAGGGCGTGTGTGTTGGAGGAAGGAGAGATGGAGTGGGTTGCATAATGGAGGAGGAATGACGGAATGATCCTGGGTCCAAAATGCCTTCATGTATCCTTCTGGTGGGTAAGGAAAGGAGGTCGTGCAGCTTTGTTTGAAGCCTCCCTTCTCTGTTTAGTCTTTGGAAGTAAAACTCTGCTGCCAGCTCCTGGGACACTCTTGTGAAAGCAAAGAACCTCACAAGCTCAGGAGGAGAACTTTGGCCTGTGGTATAGCAAAATCAGGAGCCCAGCGAGGGTGGAGACGAAAGTTGGCAGGCCTGTCCCTCATTACAGCTGGCGTGGCGTAGTTGTTGTAACGTCAGATTAGGATCTGGGAGACCCAGGTTTGAATGCCTGCTCTGCCGCAGAATCTTGCTGGGTGACCGTCGGCCAGTTGCGTGCTCTCAGTCTAACCTACCTCACAGGGTTGTTGTGAGGATAAATTGGAAGAGGAAGAGGATGTAAACTGCTTTGAGTCCTCATTGGGGAGAAAGGCGGGGTTAAATGGAGTAAAGTATATACTAAAATACTGGTTCATGCCTGTGGGAGAACAGTTCTCTGTTAGGGTTACCAAGTACCTACCGCGAATTGGCGGGGGGGGGGACATAGTTCTTGGTGGGAACATTCCCGCGGGGAAAACACACACGCTGCACTATGCTGTCGCCCAGACGTGACGTAGGCACATAGCTGGGCGACGCTCTAGCAATGGGGCTGAAAACTCGATGGTACCATTGAGTTTTCAGCTTCATTGCCAGAGCATCACCCAGCTATGTGCCCAGCGTGCTGACGTCACGTCTGGGCGATGGCATAGTGTGACGCGGGTGTGTTACAGGCAGGAATGTTCCGGCGGGAAAGCATGTGTCCCCCGCCGATTTGCAGTAGGTACTTGGTAACCCTATTCTCTGTGCTCAGCTGGCAGATTACTCAGCAGGGCTGCTGAACACCCATAGTGTGTTCCAGTGTAGTTTATAGTGGTTAATGTGGGAGACTGAGGTTCGAATCTTCACTTTGCTCGACTTATTCCTGATTTTCTTGGCAGTTGATCCACAAGCAATGGAAACAGTTTGGATGTAGATCTTCCATACATCTGCCCTTCCTTTGCATTTTCACAGTTATGCAGTCAGTTTATTTTCTTCTGCATCTGCCTTTAATCAGGATTTTCAGGGGAGGGGGCCGGTGTCATTGGTGGTATCACAGCATCCCCTCCCCCTTTTATTTTTTGTACATGCTTATATTGATATATTTATATCATGGCTGCATTTTTAAAAAAGACACTAAAATATTGATGTAACATTGTAGTGACCGGTTTAGCATGTCTCTGAATTCTCAGCTTTCAATTTTAAAGAAGTCAGTCTCCAGTCTTTTCCCTCACTGAGAAAAAGGCATATATCCACGAGGGAAGGGGCTAGAGTTTTACTTTTAAAAAAATGAACCCGGGAATTCAGAGACCCTGCTAAATTTATCAATATTTCAGTGCCTTCAAAAAAATAATAAAAACCCTTGTCTTTGGGGCAGGGGAGGAAGAGAAGGAGTAGTTTGCCAGTGATGACAGTCCAGTCATCAAAAAGTGGGCTGGAAGTGCATGGGAATGGATGGGACAAAGAAAACGGAGAGAAGCATTATGCACAATGAAAAGGGCAACTCAAAATTGGCTTCCAGGAAAAAATCAAGATAAAAGTGGTATCAAAAGAAATGGGGAAAAAATGGGGGGGAGACACCCCCCCCCCCCGAAGTGAAAACGAAAGTCACAAAAACTTGTGGAGATCAGGGGGATAACCAAAGCAGTATGGGACCACAACCAACAAAGCAACTCTTGTGGAAAAGCCTTATGTGACTAGGGTTGCCAAGTCGAATATCCTTACCGGTGTGTGGGGGGGGAGCGTCGCCTGGCTCCGGGAGCTCTCCTCCGATGCACGCCGCCAGCACGTCCCCGAAGTGACGCGCGGCGTCGATCACATTAGGGGCGTGGCCCCGATCATCCATAGAGTTTTCCCTCCGAAGATCGGGGCCACGCCCCCAACATGATCGACGTGGTTGCGTCACCTCTGGTGACGCAGCCACGCTGCACTTACGGGGCGGAGTTCCTCCCGGGGCCCGATTCCGCGGTGGCGGAAATCAGGCCTCCAAAGCGGGGGTTTACCCGCCCCCACTTGGCAGCCCTATATGTGACCTTGGGCCTGTTGAGCGCTCTCAGCCTAACCTAAGTTACAAGGTGTTTGTTGTGAGGATAAAATGGAGAAAGGGAGAATGATGTTGTAAACTGCTTTGGGTCCCTCTTGGGGAGATGTCTTGGGTCCCTCTTGGGGAGATGCAATGTCTCAGCAGACAGTTTTTGCGCTAGTTGACATCTCAGCTTGAAGGTGGGGCTTGGGATTGGGAGGGGGTCCTTTCTGGGGAGACTGCTGCATACTGCTGAGTGGAGGGTGGGCATGCTAATTGTTCTTGTTTCTTTCTGCATTGCAGCCCCAAACGAGATCCTCCACAACATAACACAGCCTCTCGGAAGTGAACGGACTCGCCCTTCGCCTGCCACAGTTGGCGATAATGGATGTTGCCGGGGTGACCAGTCTCCCACTCCTGCCACACCAGCGCCCATCCCTTCTCCCTCTGTGGCTGTTCCTGCGGGAGCAACGCTGCCCACCCAGAATGGGCACATGGGCCCTGATACTACTGCAGTGTCCCCGGCTGAATCCAGGCCTCCCCCTCAAGCTGACCAGGCTGGCTGCCAGCCTGCCCCAGCACTTCCTGCTGTCTTGACCCCCAAAAGTCATCATCCCCCACCAACAGGTGCCCAGGCCACACCCTCCACAGAAGAAACAAGCCTCCCAGAAAGTGCTCAAAGACCATCCAAGAATGACCTGCCTTCCTCTGGTACGGGATCTTCCAGCCCACGGACTAAACAAGGTACTTTTGGGGTTGGTGTTTCTAGGATCTATATGGGAGCAAAGGTGGCATATTGGTTGTCCATGTTACTGTTACGCAGTTTGTCATTATGCTGTCGAAGGCTTTCACAGCCGGAGTTCATCAGTTGTTGTAGATTTTCCGGGCTCTATGGTTGTGGTCTTGGCATTATAGGACCTGACATTTCGCCAGCAGCTGTGACTGGCATCCTCAGAGGTATAACACAGAAAGATGGAGTACTCTCTGTGTCAAGGTGAGAAGACACAACCCAGAGAGAACATTGGCAAGAAAGGTGCACTCTGTACATGTTCATGGTCTTCATTTTGCTGTTACTTAAAATGGTGTGGTACAGTTTCAAAGGGACAATTAACTGGAGTGTGTAAAAGGAATGACCGGATTGCTCATTGGAGAACAATAGGAGATATCTGGAGGCCTGTTAGAGATAATGGGAGCCGGGAATGCCAATTGTCTTGCATGGGCTCCACTGAAATACATTGCAGCACAAAAAAAGTTGCAAAGAAAATGTGGAATGGTTTTTCCATTAAGGGGCATGGGGGGCTTTCACGTGAGGTTCTTTGCTGATCCTTGTTTGATTTTCATATGCCTGCATCCTCTGTATGCCTTTCTCACGCCTTAGGACTTGGAAACTTTTTTTTAAAAAAATAATGTTTTTATTGGTTTTGTCAAAAACGTTTTGACAACAAACAAGGTAAACAGAATAAGAAGCAAAAGGTGGCTGTGGCTGGATGACCACACTTCTGGTAACATGGGGGTGTGGCCTAATAGGCTAATGAGCTGTGCTGTTAGGGGTGTGGCCTAATAGGTTAATGAGTTTCTGCTGTTGGGTGTGACCTATTATGCTAATAAGTTCCTGCTGGGCTTTTTCTACAAAAAGAGCCCTGGGATGCCCCAAACTCTCGAAACTGATCAAAGGCCAATTGCAAATGCCTTGTGTGAGGTCAGGGCTCTTTGTCTTTCTGGTGGGAGAACCGGTTCGGTGGGCTCACCATCTTTTATTTAAAGAGTGATCATCTGTACCCACCGATAAAGGGCTGTCTTTCCAAAGTTCAGGGTGGAAGAAGCTGTCTTCAACTGCAATGTTTTTGCTTTCCCCAAAGCAGCAAAGGAAAACTCTCTTATGCAGGAGAAAACGAAAAGGCATGGTTTGGGGGAAATGGTTAGGGTTGCTTCCAGCCCCTGGAGAGTCTAGCCACTGAATCTAGTCCACTTCTGTTTGCATCGCCCAACCTGGACTGAGTATCTTAGCATTCAGGTTGTCAGCCAGTCAGTATTGATTTGTCTGACCTGTAAAACTACACTCTCTATTGAGTTACCATTATTTGTAAATATTGGGGGGGGGGGGGGGTTGTGCTTGGGGCCTAATTGTACTTTCCAAAGTCTTTGTCTCATCCCAGCATGTCTGGGGCTGGTGCTGGGGCAGAAGGCCCCAGGTTCAATCCCTCACATCTCCAGTTAAAAAAATCAGGTAGTGAGTGATGTGAAAGACCTCAGCCTGAGATGCTGGAAAGTCACTGCTAGTCTGAGTAGACCAGGAGTGTCAAACTTAAGGTCCACAGGCCAGAAACGGCCTGCCCATGGCTATCAGGCCCGCAGCTCTTTCTTTCCCCCTCATCCCCCCCCCCCCTTTGAAGCTTGATGCTGTTGAAGTTCCTAGCTCCCTTCTTCTTCTCTTTGCCTGCTTGGGCAGGAAGCTCTTCTGGGCTTGCAAAGTTACAAAGAAAATACGGAAAGGATTTTTCCATTAAGGTCTCTGCACCCAGATAGACTACTCTGGGATTGTTTCCAGCAATAGAATCTGTGTTCTGAGACTGGAATGACAGGGCGCAGAGTGGGATGACAGCCCCTGGGAGTAGCAGCAACATTCTGGGAATGGAATTCCACTCTGGAGGCCCTCATTCCAATCCCAGAACACTTCTGCTACTCCCAGGGACTGTCATTTCACTCTGGTGGCTGTCATTCCAGACCCAGAATAGTCTATCTGGACCCAGAGACCGTAATGGGAAATCTGTTCTGCATTTTCTTTGCAACTTTGTCTGTGTTGCAATGTATTTCAGTGCAGTGGAGCTCAAGAAGTTTCACTTTTCAGTGTTTGTATAGCTGAAGCTGCTGCTTGTTGGAGTTGTCTCCTTGCAAATACAGAGTTGATGTTTTGAGCCGGCTTGTCTCTACTGAATGGACCTGAGAACAGGTGCCTGAGTGAGTACTCTAACCTGGGAACCCACAGCGAAAGGGGGACATTATACTGGAGAGCCACTGCCACTGAGTAGACCGGGGTGGGGGAGGGGGTGGGGGAGCTTGCAATGCCCAGCCATTTTATTTTCCTAGGCTCAGAGCAGTTTATATTTTTAGTTTCTGCTGTGATCCTTGTGCCTTTTCTTGATTTTTTAAAATTGCATTGCCCAACCCTACTATTCCCCCCACCTTTCCATTTTAGGCAGGTATCTTTTGGGGGGTGGAGGTTTGGGAGGTGTCAGTTATCAGACCGTTAAATAAACAAAATGTCACAAGAGTTTTAAGCATATTTGTATTTTAAGTAAAAGAGAAACCCATAGCCCTCTGGTCCCTGGCCAAGGCTTCCAACAGGTTATGCCCTCCCTGCAGTCGTGCCCAAGTCGTACGGTTGCCAACTCCGAGTTGCGGAATAGATTTGGGGGAGGGGGTGGAGCCTGGGGGGGTTGGGGAGGGGAGGGACCTCAGCAGTATACAATGCCACAGAGTCCACTTTCTCTAGGGGAACTGATCTCTTTTGTCTGGAGATCAGTTGTAATAGTGGGAGATCTTCAGGCCCCACCTGGAAGTTGGCAGCCCTAGATGGACCAGTGGTCTGATCCAGTATGTCAGCTTTGTGTATTCATGTGGCTTTGTTCTATCAACCAGAAGTGCTCAGGGAGTTTCGTGCTTGGAACTAGGGTTACCAGCCTCCTGGTGGGGCCTGGGGATCTCCCGGAATGACAACTGATCTTCAGATGACAAGATTGGTCCCCTGGAGAAAATGGCCACTTCAGCGGGTGGACTCTATGGCATCACAGCCTTGCTGAGCACACTCCACCCCCAAATAGCTAAGAATTTCCCGGTGTGGAGTTAGCAACCCTGCATGGAACAATTATTGTGAATGTATACTGCTTGTCAGTCTTTGGAAGCCGCCCTGAGCCTGCCTGGCGGGGAGGGTGGGAAAAAAGTGAAATAAATAAATAAATAAATAAACTCCCAGGCATGCAGGGGCCAGGTTCAGTTGCAACCATGGTGCACAGGGAGAGGGGCCTCCCATACCATTTTCCCAATTCGAAATGGCCCCATGGAGATGTTGTTTAGGTCATGGGTGGGGGAGTGTATGTAGTCCATCAATTCATGTAAGTTTTCCCAGGGAGCAAATAGCAGGTATGCAATGCTAGAGACTTTTGCACATTTTGAATGCTGCTGCTTATTATTCTTGGCTGATTAGTAACCCCCTTCCCACTTTCATGGAGTGGGGCAGTTCTGTTCATAGCCTATCACATTCTACTTTGGTCCTCCCATGCTCTCTCCATTGCCCACCATGTTTGACCTTGCTTGTTCTGGCTCTGAGTCCTAATGCAGGTGTGGAGGAGGGGCTGTCCATCAGCTTTTTAAATTAAAAAAGGCCATAGGATAGGAACATAAGAGCCCACTGGATGAGACCAGTGGTCTATCTAGTCCAGCATCCTGTTTTACACATTGGCCAAACACTTGCCCTGGAGGGTCAACAAATAGGAAACAGCAGGGGTCATTTCGTAGAAAAAGAGCGGCAGGAGCTCATTAGCATAAGGTATTCTAATGAGCTACTAGGCTATTAGCATAATATCTCATTAGCATATGCCACACCCCCTGACATCACCGGAAGTGATGTCAGAAGGGGACGCAAAAGGGGGGGTAAGGCAAGAGGGAAGGAAAGAGAGAGAGAGTACAGAGAAGGAAAGAGAGAAGGAAAGAGGGAAAGAAAGAGAAGGAAAGAAGGAAGGAAAGAGGGGATAAAAAGAGAGAGGGAAAGAAAGAGAAGGGAAGAAATGAGGGAAAGAGGAAAAGGAGAGAACAAAAGGAGGGAAAGAACATAAGAACATAAGAGACGCCAATGTTGGATCAGGCCAGGGCCCATCCAGTCCAACACTCTGTATCACACAGTGGCCAGAAATACCAGTGCCATCAGGAGGTCCACCAGTGGGGCCAGGACATTAGAAGCCCTCTGATTAGAAGCCCTCCCACTGTTGCCCCCCCCCCAAGTACCAAGAAGACAGAGCATCACTTGCCCCAGAGCCCCTATCTATACCTTTACAGAGAAAAGGAAAGGAGGGAAAGAAAGAGGGCAAAGAGATGGGGAGAGGGAGGAAGGCTCTCCCACGCCCCACTAAGCCCCCACCCCCGTGGATCCCTCACTTGGATCCCTCACTTACCATGTTCAAGGCCTTCCCCAGGCCGCAGAACTCCGGTGCGGGCCCAGGGAGGCCAGCCACGGGCCTCCTCAGGCCTCCCCTGGGCCGCAGCGCTCCAGCGTGGGCCCTGGAAGGCCGATGATGGGCCTCCTCAGGCTTCCCCTGGGCCACAGCGCTCCAGCACGGGCCCTGGGAAGCCGGCGATGGGCCTGTTCAGGCCTCCCCTGGGCCGCAGCGCTCCAGCGTGGGCCCTGGAAGGCCGATGATGGGCCTCCTCAGGCTTCCCCTGGGCCACAGCGCTCCAGCACGGGCCCTGGGAAGCCGGCGATGGGCCTGTTCAGGCCTCCCCTGGGCCACAGTGCTCCAGCGTGGTCCCCGGGAGGCCGGCGACGGGCCTCCTCAGGCCTCCCCCGGTCTACAGCGCTTTGGTTCAGGGAGCTGGGGATGGGGCTTGCTGCCACTGCCATTTGTGCCAGCTCCTGAGCTGCTGGAGCGGTACTCCGGCGCGCTCCAGCCCCAAATGACCCCTGGGAAACAGGCCAAAGCCTTCCCCTGATGCTGCCTCCTAGCACTGGTAATCAGAGGTTGACTGCCTCTGGCTATGGAGGTTCCCTTTACTCACCATGCCTAATAACTATTGATGGACCTCTCCTACATGAATAAGGTTTGCCAGCTTCCATTATAAAAACAGCATTAAATTAGGAACAGGAACAGACTAATGAGTTAGTCTAATTAAAAAGGGCTGGCTTGGAGGCAACCAAACTGATTGTTGAAGGGGGATTCCCCCTTTCTTTTCAATCACTGTGAAACTCAGACTGAAGGTTGACGGGCTTACTGACTAGTCTGCTGGATCAAGAACAGTTTGGAGCTCTGATCTTCTGAACAACACCATCCTTCCCTCCTAGTGTAGGGACCTGACGGAGTAGCCCTTCCTTCACATCAGGATGAAGAGAACTGGGCACTACTCCCCAGAGTGTGGGAACAGCTGCCACCCAGTACAGAAAGAGTAAACTGAATTGGGTGTTGTTCCAGCACCAATATTCTACTGGGCGGGGGGAACAGACTGTACACCAACAAAAGACAAATGCAGCATGTTTATTCCAAGTGTGTGTGTGTGGGGGGGGGACAAGTAGTTTGTTTTGGTGCAAAGAAAAGGAATAGGAGAAAGGGGGCAAGGATTTAGAATAAGTATAGATCTCCTTGTGTGAGTGAACCATCTCTAATCTACTCTCTGCAGGCAAAGTGGAAAAAAATAAAAGTATAACATGTAACCACTAGCTAGTATCTTAGGTCTTTATGTTTGTATCTTAGGTCTTTATGTTTGACTAGGAAAAAGGCCCATTGTGGAAATAAATACAACGGCCTCTAGAAAGAGGCTCTGGGTGGGTGCCCAGGCCTTGGACACTCAGTGTCGATTTGCTGTGGCGACCTCAGCAGGATATAATGACACTGAGTCTACCATTTTCTCCAGAGAAACTGATCTCTACTACCTAAAGAACAGTTGTAATTTTGAGTGATCTCCAACCCTCACCTGGAGATTGGCAACGATGGTTCCCCAGAAGGGAATAGTTGGTTTGGAGGGTGGAGTCTATGGCTTTGTGCCTGTCCGAGGTCCCACGCCTCCTGAAATCTCACCCTCTCCAGGCTCCATCCCTCACATCTCTAGGAATTTCCCACCTAGAGTTCGCAACCCTATCTCCTTCCCAGCCAATCATCAACCTACCCTTATTTCCCCCTCACTCTTCAGCTTTCCACCCCCCACACACCTGCAGCCTCTCCCATGCTCTGAAGCTCTGACTGCTACGTCACATTGGCTGTCATATGGGGGCCACCTCAGCAGCATATAAGGATACAGAGCCCACCATTTTCTCCAGGGGAACTGATCTCTGCCATCTGGAAAGCAGTTGTAATTCTGAGTGATCTCCGGCCCTCACTTGGAGATTGGACACATTTTACCTCAGAACAGCAAACTGTTTAGAATGTTAGAGGCAAAAGCCAATCAAGTCGCATATGCAAACGACCTCTGTGTTCTGAGGCAGAGGCCAATGAGGCTGCATATGCAAATAACCTCTGTGTTCTGACTGGCTATGGGGGGGAGAGGATTAGCAAAATGTTTAGAATGTTGGAGGCAGGATGCAGGCAAAGCAGCCAGTGGATAGGGAGACCCTCTGAATGACAGATCAGAGAGCAAACTGATTTTGGAGCGTGTGGAATGTTCTAGAGAAGTGCCACCACCATTCAGCTTTTATTTATAAGGGCTTGCAAGTTCCCCTTGGCCATTAGGGTAAATACTCCCTTCTCCCCCCCTCCCCCATACCATTTCAGACTGTATGGCGGGTGGGGAGAATTGAATATTTGCTTCTTTCCCTGAATAATATATTGCCAACCCATAAAAAACTGGCATGTCTGAGCAATGGTTGCCCTAGGACCTTTTCCCTGATGTGCTACAAAGACCAGATTGGAGTTGTGCGGAACAGGATGAGGCAGTCACCTCATCTGCCATATGGTCTGTGGCATAAATTCCCAAGGCATCTGCTAATTTGCTGAGGGAGAGGAAGTGAGGATACTCCATGGCTGAGAATCAAAGTCCTCTACATTTCAGACTGTTTCAGAGGGTGGACGTGTTGATCTGTGGTAGAACAGCTAGATTCCAGTCCAGGAACACCTTAGAGAACAAGATTTTGGGGGTATGAACTTTCAGGCGTCCAAGTTGTCTTTGTCAGATACATTTCAGATGATGGACCTGCCAGTAGCCTTATGACAGGAGCAATGCTCCTTCTAAGCTGTGGAGTCTTGTGAGCAAAAATTCTACTTTGTGAGCTACTGGCATTAAAGTTGTGAGCGAGTGATTTGGCTGCTGCATCAATTCGTTTGCTCTGGAGCCATCCTTCCTGAGCTAAGATAAAAATGTGTGAGCCGGAGGGTAAAAAACTGTAATGTATTGGAAATGCTTACATGAATCGCCTCATTGACCTCCCATGTTAAGCTTCAAGCCAAGCTACGGCTCCTCCGAACGGACTTCCTATTGGTTGCTCTGTTGCAGCGACCAATCAGAACTGTACCTATTCCCTGCGAGGGAAAGACTCTCATTGGTCTTTATCCAAACAACCTCATTGGTTGATTATTGTAATTAGGCGTGGCTATGTTAGCCCGGGAATGTTTAAAAGGAGCCCGGCTCCCAATGTTAAAATGTTCTGGTTATGAATGCTTACAAGCGCTTGTTCGTTACTTCAGTAAAGCTGATTCACTTGCTGAAATCACTCTCTGACTCCTTGTTAGCGGCAATCTAACAAAAACTGTGAGCTAGCTCACACTAACTCAACTTAGAGGGAACACTGGACAGGAGACTGTTTATGTTTAACCTTGGGCATCCCCCCCCCTTCCCTCTTTCTGGTTTTTCTCCTCTCTCTTCCCACCTCTTTCCCCTTACTGTTTCTTCTTTATATCTTTCTCCTTCATTAAAAGTCCTAAACCAAACAAACCCTCATTTAGTTTAGGGTGTAATCCACCAGTATCCAAACCCAGCGATCTTGAAATCAGTCGCAAAAAAGCAAAGAAGGACTGACAGACATTGAGCAGTGGTAAACACACATTTACTTACTTAATTTATACTCTGCTTTTCTCATCATGGGGACACAAAGTGGTGTACATCATTCTCCTCTCCTCCACTTTATCCTCCCAACAACCTTGTGAGGTATGTTAGGCTGAGAATAGGTGACTGGCCCAAGGTCACCCAGCAAGCTTCCTTGGCAGAGTGGGGATTTGAACCCAGGCTTCCCAGATCCCTATCTGACTATAACACGCTGGCTTTTAAAAAAAACTTTTTTCTCTGTTACAGATACCCAGAAGGCTCAAGCCCGGCACAAGTTGGCCTGTGAGCGGCGGGAAGAGAGAGCCAAGCATCTAGGTAAGGATCAAGCCCGTGTATCTTTGGGTCTCCACAAAGGGGGGGGGGGGGGGCAGAGTGCTGGCAAACAGAGCTGAGGTGGTTTAGCCTAGTAGCATGATTGAAGTTTCAGGCTCATGGATACTAATGCTGATGCAGTACCCCATACTTGTCCATCCTTTTCAGCAGTCTCTGCTCCTTTGAAGAGTCCTTTCAAGACCATATCCCACACAAAGAATCATGAAGAAGGTTGACATTGATGAGCAAAGGCATTACCTGTCTTCTGCCTGCATTTCCTTGCTGGGCCTGAAGGTGGTGCTGTTAAGGGGCCTGTTTTCTGATCACCTGCACCAACCCTGGCCTATTTTAATTGAGTACCTTAAGCAGCAGATTTTGGATACCGTTGAAGGGCAGAAAATTTTTAATTCTTAATGGTTTTCTAATTATTTTTTTGGTGCTGGGAAACTGCTACTTGGCTTTTCTGTCGCTCTCTCATCCGCTGCTGCCAACATATCTTGAGCCCAGAATGGGTGACTGGAGGAATTAATTATGTATGACACCACGCTCACTGACATTTTACCAAAATTTTTAATTAATGTATGACTCAAAAAAATAGCCCACAGTTTTGCTTGTGAGAAAAGATGAATACTTTTCGAAAAATGGAAATAATCTTTTAATTGCACTATATTTTGTAGGAGGGGTGTGTTGATTAATGAGTACACCTCTTCCCAAAGCCCCCCCCCTTCCTCAAAACAGTTCATTCACACCATCTTGGTCTCTCAGGAGTTGGACGGACTATTTCGACTCATAGATCATACTCAACTTTCCTTCACTCCTTTGCCGACTCCTTCTTGCATGTGGCTTCTCTCACTGGCTTTCGTACTTCATACCTTAGCCTCATCTGAACCACATATGCTGCCATCATTTCGAAGCCTGCCAATTTAATATGGAGCAGGGATCCCCAAAGTGACACCTTAGGCAGGCATGCCACAGCCATTGCTCTGTCCGCTTACCTGCTTGTGGCAGGAGTTTTCCCAGTGACACTCCCGTGTCCCCCCATGCTCACTCAAAAGAGCGATCAAGGGGAGAGACAATGGTTGACATTGTGATGTCACTTCCGGGATTACCTGGAAGTGACATTGCAATGCTCTAGGAAGTCATTTCCTGGAGTGTGGTGATGTTACTTCTGGGTGAAACCCAGAATTGTCATCAACATCAGTCAACGCTTCCCCTCCCTGTGTCGCATGCCAAAATCTCTGGGAGCTGAGTGCAGAGGCTGGCAACCCTAGTAGCTGTGCACCTTGTGCTTGGCTGTAGACAAGAGACTTTGTCATGTCTTTGGACTTTATTTATTTATTTATTTATTTAATTTATACTTTGCTTTTCTCTCCCATGGTGGCATAAAGCGGCTCGTGTCATTTTTCCTGTCCTCCATTTCATCCTCACAACAGTCCTGTGAGGTAGGTTAGCGTGAGAAAGTGAGAGTGGCCCAAGGTCACCCAGCGAGTTTCTGTGGCATGAGTGGGGATTCAAACCTGGGTCTCCCAGATTCTAGTCTGACACTCTTAACCACTACACCACACTGTCTGCCTAAGGAAAAAAATCTAGATTATACATACGTACAAAGCTGCCTTGTACTGAATCAGACCATTGGTCCATTACAGTCAATATTGTTTACTCACATTGGCAATGGCTGTCCATGATCTCAGGCAATACTGAAATGTTCCAACGTTTTGTGGTTAGCCCTGCTCCCATAGTAGCCATTTTATGATTTCTTGGGCCTTGGCAGCCATTTTGTGGTAGTGCCCATTGTCGTTTCTGCACATTCCAAAAGCACTTTGAGAGTTTGAGCTTCAAATCAGGAATTCTCCAGTTTCACTCTTGCTTTTCCTCTGAGATGCTGAAGTGAAAGAAGTGAAATTTCAAGCCATACCTTGATGAGAGACTCCTCTCAGTGCAACCTGTGAAATCCAGCAGACCCTCTGGATTCACCATTTCAGTATGTGTCACAAAGAAGGACAGCCCTTTTAAAAGGTGTATGCTCAATTTTCAAGAACATACAAGTAAAGTGGCCAAAAACATGACTATGATTCAGGAAGTTTCTAGTTCAAATCTCCACTCTACACAAGCAGCTCTCTACAGTGTGAGATTAACACTACAGGATTGTCATAAGGAATAAAAGGAAGTACTTCTTCACTCAAAGAGTGATTAATACTTGGAATTCACTGCCACAGGAAGTGGTGGTGGCTACAAGCATGGACAGCTTCAATAGGGAATTAGATAAGCATATGGAGCAGAGGTCCATCAGTGGCTATTAGCCACAAGGTATAGATAGGGACTCTGGGGCAAGTGATGCTCTGTCATCTTGGTGCTTGGAGGGGGGGGGTCAACAGTGGGAGGGCTTCTAATGTCCTGGCCCCACTGGTGGACCTCCTGATGGCACTGGTATTTCTGGCCACTGTGTGATACAGAGTGTTGGACTGGATGGGCCTTTGGCCTGATCCAACATTGGCATCTCTTATGTTCTTATGTTCTTAATATATAATATTGGACATTTCAAAGTGCTGTGCTAAATTATGGTCACTCACAGCAAAACTGGAACTTCTGTATCTCTGTTCTCAACAGCCCAATTGCAAATGTTTTGCAACACAGACAAGATCCCCCTTTCTTGGGGCTTCCATTGGTCAGAACACTCAAACCCAATTTTGTGTAAATAAAATACTCATTATTTCAGAAAATGCGTGCAGCAGATCGAGGAGAGGGGAGTGTTCCAGTCTTTTAAATAAGATCAGGTGGGGTTGTGCTTTCCTGTTCCTTTCATGTGGAAGGAAGGAAGGAAGGAACCTGAATCTCATTGATGCAATTCTGATTTGAGAAAATTTGTATCCAGAAAACTGGGTGTGGGAGGGAAATCATACTACTTTCCCCAATGTCTAGACAGATAGACAGACATACACACGAAGTCTAGTTACTGTATTATTCTGCCCTGTATTCTTCACCATGCTGTATCCTTCTGCTGGGTAGGTAATTTCATGGCAAAGAACCTTCCTTTCTCAACCTCCGGTGGGGTCTGTAGTCTTTACTTCTGCAAAGCGCCTGGTGGTGCTCTCCACTCTGGCAGCCTCTCTCCTGCTCTTCCTCTCCCCATACTCTTGCCTCCCCCCCTCCATATACTCTGTGGTTGCTCCAGCGTAAATCACTTTCCACCCTCATTCCCCCATTGTTCATCCTGAATGTGTTTTCAAGCCAGCTTCCCGCTCCCCTTTGTGCCTGACCCAGCCTAGGCCTCTCCTCCCTCCCTCCTGTTAGCATCCCACCCCTTGCTGTAGCTCTGGATGTCTCCCACTCCAGTGTACTGCCACCTGAATATTCAGTAATAGTAACACAGAGCCCACCCAGTGGATTCCCTGTGCCTTCCCTCCTGAGGCTGGCCTGCACCATTACAGTGTTCCACGGTGGCTGGACCCTGTTGATGTACTTCATGCATTCATTTAAAAATATAATGCATCCTGCTTTTTCTGATTTGCTAACTCAATGCTCACCGTCATTAAAATGTAGAAAAGGCATCGCAAACTCAATAGAAATGCCTGTGTCTGTCTCAAGCTGCAGCATAGATTGCTGTCTCTTATGCATGGGCAGTCTTAGTGCAAAAATCCAGGATGGGCCCCTACAATCACTCTCCAGTCCCCCTGCCAGGGCCAAGCAAGAGGTGGCCCTTTCCCCATGCAGGGCAGACAGGAGCCACCGCTGCCACCGGAAGCCATCTTCATGAGCCCCGGATGGGGCAGGTGCAAGGGGCAGCAGGAGCCTGCTCATCGTGTTCTCCCCCCTCTCCTTGGGGAATAGGGCCATAGCTGGTTGGGGCCCCCACAAGTGTGGGACCTGCAACAGCTGCCCTCCTTGCCCATTGGCTGAGACCACCCCTTCTACTATGCATGTTTTGCTTGGGGCTATGGCTCAGTGGAAGAGTATCTGCTTGACATGCAGAAGGTCCCAGGTTCAATCCCCGGCATCTCCACTTTAAAAGATGAGGTAGTAGGTGATGTGAAAGACCTCTGCCAGAGACCCTGGAGTGTCACTGCCCATCTGAGTAGACAGTACTGACTCCGATGAATCGGGGGTCTGATTCAGTAGAAGACAGCTTCAGGTGCCCCTGTATAGGCCTCAAATGAGGTGATAGCTGAGGTGAGAGGCAAGTCTGGAATATCCTTGATTCGTGCCTTAGTTGTTTTGAGAGAACCCCATATGTTCCTTGGAGAGACAGCAGGAGACAAATGTAATAAAAATTTCATAGGCCAGCTGATCTAAACACCCTGACATTTCAATATGTTGGGGGTTAGTGTAGGATGGGGTAGATACCTATCTGTTTAGATTTTGTATTTATAATCCCATCAGATCCAACACATTACAGGCCACAGCAATAAGTTAAAAATAATATAAAATGTTCATTGAAAAGGACACATTAAAACAAAACTTGCTAAAGAGCACACTTGTACTGCTGGATGATGTGGTAGACCCTGGCCTGTCTATATATGGCATTACATGCCCCAGGATTGGGTCTGGGGGGGAGGCACCATGTCTTCATTTTTCTTATTGATCTTCTCACTAGCTGCCAAGCGAGCTGTGTGGCTGGAGAAGGAAGAGAAAGCACGAGTTCTGCGTGAAAAGCAACTGGAAGAACGGCGACGCCGGCTCGAAGAACAGCGGGTTCGAGCCGAGAAGCGGCGCGCTGCCCTCGAGGAGCGCCAAAGGCAGAAGCTAGAGAGGAACAAGGTGGGTAGAGGATGATACCGGCATGAACAAGTGGGTGGGCACAGGGATGTGGACATCAGGGTGTGGTGGGGAATGGTGGCCTATAGGTCACCAGAATAGAAGGGGGGGCAGTGTCAGGCACTGGGCGATGGAAAGGGGAGGAGAAGGGGTGGGTTGTGTGTAGAGATTTCTCACAGAACTTGGTGTATAGATTCAAAAGCATCAGTTTTGTTTGTTTGTTTGAACCTGCCAAGGCCTTGCTGTTACAGAGAAAACATTCTTGGAAAATCTGGGTCCAAGTCTAGTGTTTACTTTGTTTAAATTTGGGGCTGTGTGAATGAGCCGGGGGGGGGGGAGTTGCTCCTTCCCTCCTCCCAAATGCAGGTACATGCAGCTGGATAAAGAGATATTTCCATATTGCTTGCTGTTAGGTCCAAACTGGTAAATTTGAGCTTTCACTTTACTTGCAAACGGTGATTAAACCTCAGTTCGGAATCCAGGTTTGCTTATGTGATATCATTTTATACCAGGCTTGGAAACCGCTATAATTTGCCATCTTAGATGTAGCGTCACAGAAGTGAAAATGCGTAATTACTGGCTATGTGCCTAAGTCCCAGAATCCCCAGGCTCAGCTGCATAGCTGCGAATCAGGGCTTGGTCTCCAAGTCATATGTCAAAAGTGAAGAACTGAGGACTGGGGATGGTGGAACAGGGCATCATTCCTGGGGTGTTTTGGGGGCTGCAAGTAAGTTATATGCTGTACAGCACTTTGGCTTGGCTCCATAACTGCACATAGAAGAACTCCATGAGATGAATGGGATCTTCCTGCTTCTTGTCTCCCTCTGCTTTTGCAGTAGAAATGCGCTCACTAGCGGTCAGAGGTCCTAAAAACAGTGAGAGCAATGTGCTGGGGGAATAGGTGGGGGCCTGGAGATCCCCCAAAATTACCACCGATCTCCATACTCCAGAGATCAGTTTGCCTGGAGAAGACAGCTAACTGCTTTGGAGGATGGATAACTCTTCTGAGGTTCCTCCCTTCCCTGAACTCTGATCCCCCCAGGCTCTGCCTCCAAATCTCCAGGAATCTCCCAACCTGGAGTTGGCTGCCTTAGCGTGGGAGTTCTGTCGTGGGAGGGAGAATCACTTAAAATCAGTTCTTCCCTCCATTAGTGGATGTGCCTTTTGGATCTAAGCCTCTGAGCAATGCATGCTCAGAGGCTTAGATCCAAAAGGCACATCCACTAATGGAGGGAAGAACTGATTTTAAGTGATTCTCATGCTCCAAAAGGCACATCCACTAATGGAGGGAAGAACTGATTTTAAGTGATTCTCATTGCATGCTCAGAGGCAATACCTAATAAGCATGAGTCCTAATTCTGTTCTATTTGGCTATTGTATGTTTTCCCCCAAACATGGAGAATGTTTATGAAAATGTATAAGCAACATAGTACGAAGAAGCATGATGTTACCTTGCTATATATTTTTTTTTAAAAAGAAATAAAATAAAATCGCAGCAAAAAGGCAAGCTAAGAACGAAATATCTGTCAGAATGCTAATCAATTCTTTGGTCAGGGAGGGAGAACTTGTGTGCAAGTATGCACACAAATATAAACATACATGAAAGCAAGACCAGATTTAACAGATCTATTGCTCAGCTGTATTAAAAGAAAACAAATCCTAGATGGCAAGTTGCGAAAGATGGCTTCTGGAGGTGTATTATTCTGGGTTTTTTTAATTATGTTTTTTAAGTCACATTATCCACCTCCATCATGAGATAAATTAGATGTCTAAAATGAACCGCTGGGGTATTTTTTTTTTTGTCTTCCTTGATGATCAGTCAAGCTAAACCCTAATCCTTCCTGTGTCTGCATCTTTGTCTGATGCTGTTGGTAATGGTTGAGTGTTTCTCCTCATGTTTTTACTCTTCTTGACTACTCCCTTCTCTGTCAGGAACGCTACGAAGCTGCCATTCAGCGCTCAGCAAAGAAGACCTGGGCGGAAATCCGGCAGCAACGGTGGTCATGGGCCGGTGCACTGCACCACATATCCCCGGCTCACAAAGATGGTGAGTGACACTGTCTGCATGGCCTCTCTTGACATGTTCGGTGTGCATGTTTGTGTGTGTGGAAATGTATGTGCATGCAGGTCAAGAAGTGTGAGGGAGTAGTGCATGTGGCCATGGCAAGCCTCAATGCTTTTGCACAGCTGGGCAGTTCTGCACATGCATGCACGTGGATGAACAAGGGCCCTTTGTACCCTGATTGGTGGTTGGAGACCAATCAAGGATCAGCCAGTCTGCATGGAGAATGCGGGGCTTCTCTTCATAACTTTCTCTTCTAGATGGGCCACTTATCACATATATTGATGTAAGTGGGCTGCTTTCTTGTAGATGCTGTAGTGTGGTGATTCTCCACAATGCTTTCCCTTCCCTACCTGTGAGCTCCCTGGAATCTCTTACAGCTATTTCCTCCTCCGTCTGTAGCTCCAGTCACATAAGATTGGATATCAGAATTTGCAAAAGAGCGACCCAGTTGGGCGTAGTTGCGATGTTGTTGTGGCAGATTGATTTACTTCATGGACACTACCAGTGTGATGATACTTGTTGGGTTGTCAGGAATCTGCAACTTACTGCATGAACACAGAGGAAAAGTTTGTTTTATGGATGTTTTTTTGGGATTCCTCATGATTATGGAGGAAAGTTTAGAAGTGTGTGTGCAGTTTCTGATACAAGCTTAGAAACTAGTGGGGAGCTGGAAAAGGACTTCAGCAATTAAGGGACAAGAGAGCCACTTCTCTAGTCATCTATGGTGCATAGCACTTGCCTCCAGACAACTGAGCAAGGAAATTTTACAAAAGTTGGTTCCTGGTTTCTTGTAGAATGGCTAACATCTGTTTGCGGAACAAAGTTTGAGTCTAGTGGCATCTTTAAGACCAACACAGTTTTATTCTGGGTTTAAGCTTCCCTGTGCACACACACTTCTTCAGATACATTGAAATGGAAGTCACCAGTCATTACATATAGGTAGCAGGAAGGGGAGGATGTTGCCAGGAAGGGCCAGTTAGAGCCAAGAGGTATAAGTAGCTAAGCAGTAAATATAGCTAAGACTGGATGAAGGCGATTGACAAATTAGCATGCAGATATATAACATGGATGGATGGATGGATGGATGGATGGATGGATGGATGGATGGATGGATGATAGATAGATAGATAGATAGATAGATAGATAGATAGATAGCATATAGCTGCTATTCACAGGTCTTAACCATTGTCTTCATCCAGTTTTAACTATATTTATGCTCAGTTATTTATGCATCTTGACTCTAATAGGCCCTCCCTGGCAACATCCTCCTCACCTGCTACCTATATGTAATAGCTGGTGACTACTGTTTCAATGTATTTGAAGAAATGTGTGTGCACAAGAAAGCTTAGAATCAGGGCTATTTTTGGACAGGAACGCACAGGAACGGAGTTCCGGCTGGCTTCAGAGTTGGTCACGCCCACTACACCCAAGCCAAGGGAAGGCAGTTTAAACTGCCTCCCCTCCCCTCCAAGGGCTGGCTTGCCCAGGCTCCTCACAGCCGTGGGGCGCCCGGGCAAGCCAAGGGAAGGCATGGGGGTGTGGTCTAATATGCTAATGAGTTCCTGCTGTTGGGTGTGGCCTATTATGCTAATGAGTTCCTGCTGGGCTTTTTCTACAAAAAAAGCCCTGCTCAGAATGAAACTTTGTTGGTCTTAAAAGGTGTCACTGGACTCAAACTTTGTTCTGCTGCTTCAGGCCAACACGGCTACCCCACCTAGATCTATCTGTGAGCAGGCATGTCACTAGAACTGTTTGTGGATCAGTAACCTTCAGCCCTGATCAGCCTGGGACATGTACATAATAAACAATAATATTATTTGTATAGAACTTTATGGCATTCAAAGCACTTCACAGGATAATCTTGCTGTAACGATTGAAATAGCTCTGTAATGTAGGCCAGTGTCATTATCTCCCTATTAGTAAGGGGGATGTAAGGCTGAAAGACAGCGGCTAATATGAAAGTCACCTCGTAATGAAATGACTGATGCAGGATTTTAGCCAGGGACTTCCTCATTCCTAGCTCAGTCTCTGAACTGTGGTGTTTCGGCAACTCTGTTCTTTTACTCCAGGCCAGTGTTTTAAACTGCCCTAGAGGACATTAATTCATAGGGTCACCCTAAGTTGGAAGCGACTTGATGGCACTTAACAAACACACAGAGGTCCCTGCCACACGGGGGGGGGGGGGAATGCGTGGGCAAAGTGCGGCTTTTGAAAGCCGCACCAAAATAGGCACGCGGCGGCGGGATCACACAGATCCCTTGAGCCGCTACGCACTTGCTCCCTGGCATGATCAGATGCCGGGGAGACCGGGGAGAAAGCCATGAAACAGAGAGAGAGGCTGCCGAACTGCGCACGTGTGAACATGCGTAGTTTGGCCAGGAGTCTCGGATGCGCCGGCAGAAGGACGCACCGGCGATCCCACGGCCGCACTTGCTTGAAGGCCGCACTTGCCTTTCTGGTAAGTCCACCTCTAGGGGTGATTCTTTTTTGCAGTGGGTTTTTGGCCTGAAGGGCCTGGTCGGGGACGGGTTCGCGCTGCTTCCCAGATGTTGCGGTTAGAGATGTAAAATTTCCGGAAATTTTGAAGCTCGGAAAAAAACCCTTTTTTTCGGGAAAAACCGGAAATTTCCGGGAAAATTGAAAAAAATGCTACATTAGCATTTCTTTTGTCTTTTCTAGATTGAAATTCATCTTTTTTAGGAACTTTAGGAACATAAAATATGATTATGGACATTTTTACTTAGCATGAAATTATCACAACTAGCATATTAAAAATATAGTGTATCCAAACAATTATTACAAACAGAATACCCACCCACATGCAAAAACAAAACTGGAACTTTTTTATGTTCTTCTGACAATCGCACCTCCTAAAGGAAGAAATGCATCTTGTTGTTGCATTGAAGAGTTCAGTTTGTAACCTAGGACTTGCTTGTCCTCAAGTGCACAGAAATTAGATCAATCTGATACCATATATATATATTTTAGAAATGATTTGGAAAATATTTGAACACCTTGTCTTAAAATATTTTATTCATCATGTTAAAATAAAACATTCCATAATCAATTTTTTTCCTTTTCTTTTCTTTTTTCAATTTTTCCAATTTTTTGGAAAAAAACAAAAAGGCTTCAGGAAAAAAACGGGGGGGGGGGATGGGTTTCCCCCCGAATTGTTCCGGGTTTTTTCAGGTCCTTCACATCTCTAGTTGCGGTGCGATCGCGCCCGTTTGCTGCGCCCCCGATCCGTCCCTCTCCCGGCCCAAACCCTTACGTGTGATCGGAGCCAGAGTCCACTCCAGTATTTGGTGTGGGCAAACACAGGGAGAAAAGAATAGAACAAAGTCTGAGTCCCGTGGCACCTTTAAGACCAACAAAGTGTAATTCTGGGTATAAGCTTTCCTGGGCACGTACACTTCATCAGCTCCAGCAGCTACAGACAGAAGAAGAAGTATTAAACAGTGTTCCTGTTTCAAACTGTGCTGTCTCTTTATTTTGAGCCTAGCTTTAAGGACACAACATGAACCACTATGCTATATCCACTATCAGGGACTACCTCTCCTCATGAAAGCTGTATCTCCCCCCAGTGGTGTATCAGAGGCTATTTCCTCCCATGTTGTCATTGCAGTATATTGAATGGTCCCCTAAGAATGCCCCAAATTCTAAACACTCCTGATTGTATGGATGGGGTGAGGTAAAAACCTCTCACTGTAGTGTCTCCTGAGGCACATGATAGGGCACACTCTCTTTGTTTGGCTTGTAGTTTGATATTGTAGCTGCGTTGGTTGCCTCTGCGTAAAAGGCAATATATGTACTGTTCGTGATAAATGAGCCAATTTGTGAAATGAGAGAGAGGGCCTATGTTATGCCTTTGATTTGGAAACATGACCTTTGATCTGGAAGCTCTTCTCTTGGTCTTAGGTGTGTGTAGAGGCTGGTGGGTGGGTTGGTGAACCAGTGCTGATAAAAGAACCCTCTGTTCAAGCTCAGAGATCTTCTTTTGAATACTGCTTGTTGGTGAACTACATGGCTGAGCAGGGATCTGAGCTTGGGTCTCCCTGGACCTAATTCCATGAGAGACGGTAAGCATATAGATGTAATAATAATTGTACAGGATAATGATCACCCTCCCCCCCCCAAATAATCCTTCACTTCCAGGGATTCCACTCTTCTGAGTCACCACACCCTGAGTATTTAGATCTTATGTAAGTCATAACTGGAAAGTCCTTTCTGAGTTTTATAGCTTTTTTAAAAAAGGTCCCCATTTGTCTCCCCAACTCTAGCATTAAAATCTCCAGCCATAAGTATTGTGGTTGTAGGATGAATCCTAGCCAAAGATTCCAAGTAGTGCTTTAACGGGGTCCAGCACTGGGTTATTTTAAATTTACGGGTATATGGTGGGAGACAGATGTTCACCAGAATTATAGAAAACTCCATAAACTCCAGCAATAATGCCATTGTGTAAGGAGGACAATTAGGTAACTCAGGCCCTGTTCACACAAGGGGTTTTGGGCCGGGAGAGGGACGGATCGGGGCCGCAGCAAACGGGCGCGATCCCACAGCAACATCTGGGAATCGTGCTGCGCCCGTCCCCCATCCGTCCCTTCCGCCGAAAAAGTGCACCAAAAAAGAACCACCTAACCGGGTGGTTCAATCGAAAGGGCCGCGGCAAGTGCGGCTGTGGGATCGGCGGCACGTCCTTGCGCCGGCGCATCCCCGGCCCCTGGCTGAACTGTGCATACTCGAGCACGCGCAGTTCGGCAGCCTCCCCCTCCCACTCGTCTCTTCCTCCCCAGCATCTGATCGTGCCAGGGAGCAACGGCGCGCGGCTCACGGGATCTGTGGGATCCCGCCCGCAGCGTCTCTATTTTTGTGCGGCTCTAATTAGCTGCACTTTCACCGGTGTTTTCCCTGCCGTGTGGCAGGGGCCCAAGTAACCATGACTTTGACGATTACTGAGATTAAACAGATCAACCCTCCAGAGC